GACGAAAAATTCTTGAATCCAGTAAAATTTACTTAAACTAAAAAAAATTTCTTAGTTTTCGAATTTTTCTACTCAAATCAAAAAAATTAAGTTCTTCAAAATTATTTACTTGATTCGAGTAAATTTTTTTTTCTGTGCATGTATATACACTTTCGAACCACACTTCAGCTCGACAAATTGAATCAGAAAATAGCAAAACTTTTCAAAAGTTGCGTTACTGGGGCAAATACTATAGTTGGATTTTTATGAAATCTTTTAATAAGAAAAATTTTAGGTTATAGGAATCAGTTGTAGTATTTTTAATAGATTTTCATTTCATTATGCAGCGTTTCATCATTAATCATTACTACATCAAGCTCTAGGAAAATTTACGATAAAAAATAATGATCTGCATTCAGAGTCGTGCAATTAGTTACATTAACATAAGTCAGATTATTCAAAAATTTAATCAACTAATATTTACAATTATAATTGTAAATATTGAATGGTATACCATTCACATAAAATCTTAAAAAAAAATATTCAATAATATACTTCCAAAATCTTAATCATCAAGCCATCAAAACTATTTGACATATAGAATTTCTATAATATGCTATGAAAAAATACTTGTTGGTTATTTTCGTTCCTACGACAAAATTATTTATAATTAAATGTTTACGGAAGAAAAGGAAAATAGGAAGAGAAGAATTTTTTAAAAGATGCATTCGTTACAGTCAACTTGGGTTTAAATAGAAACCGGAAAAGTATTTAGTTGGAAGAATTTAGGGCTTAATTTTTGGAAAATTGATTGTCTTCAGTTTTTTTAGACATCAATATTGTTTAAAATTTTTTACGCTTAAAAATTAATAAGGTCCTTTTAAATTTTCTAAAAAAATGTCTCAATATTTAGCTCAAAATTTGAATTTAAAACGTTAAAAAATTTTATTGCATTAAATTTTCATTATTAAGAGTTGAAAGTAATTGTACAAAAAGTGACGTGTCGTTGAAAAGAATAATTTTTTAAGTCAAAAATGAAAATAAAAATCGTGAGAAAAAAGGTAACTTGTTACAGTAAATGTTTCAAGGTTTCCGATATAATACAATAATTTTAAAGTTGTAAAGAAAATATATGAAGAATCGATCAATTCAAGGATGCATCAAAATTTATTTTCTCGGCAGCAATTACGGGGCAACAGTAATTAAGAGAACGAAGAAATTTAAAAATTTATTGATATGGAGAACTATTCATACGTGGAGTAATATTTCCATTCAATATTTTTTAGTAAAGTAAAAATTCAAAGGGTTTTCAGGATAAGAAGAAATAGGTAAAAAATGTATAGTATTGTAGACGAAAAGTGTAAGGATTTAAATATCTGTATGCAACTGGATGTAATATCTTTCCTCGCGTCCAATACCCTTGAAACTCGATGAGCATCGATCGGTTCTTTATCCTCTCACTTACACTCTCTCTCGACAAAACTCAACGTCCTTTCTCTGGATAGAAGCTTAGCTTATTCATCTCACTCTGGTCCCCTGTTAACGGAGTGTCTACGAATTGTCGAGTCGTTTCAGAAGCACGTGTCTGCGTATCCACTATAGTACACCACACCGTTTAGTTTAGTTTCACGAATAGGATTTAATGCGTTAGGCATACCACCAATTTATGTATATTTTATACCTATATGAGCTAAAAACGAAATATCTATAATATAATAATACACTCATACCAACACCAGATTTAGATAGTCAAGCATGAGAATAGATACAAGTATTAGGATGAAACTATGGAGCGAAAAAGACAGAGGAAAGAAATAAAATAGAAAATCGAGCATACAACTGAACTATCTATCTAAAAAATATTCAATCTTATATCGAATAAAGAAGAGAAGTAGTTTTATCCAAAAGAAGTATTATGAAGTAAATGAGTAAAATGAGTATAATGTATAAGTAAAAAGAGGAAGAAAAGTGCGTGTGCGGTCGGTAGACGAACCAGAACAAAGCTTGGCAAACACAACAAGGACAGATGTCCTGACTACTTCGTTAAACGGAGACGAGGAATCTTTCTCCCACCCTATGATCCGAGGTACAATTTATTTCCCCCTAAGAGCTCTTTTTTTGCAACTTCAGAGTATGTTGCCGCTATACGTGTAATAGACACCGGATAATATATTTAATTATTATTATTATTATTATTATTATTATTATTATTATTATTATTATTATTATTATTATTATTATTATTATTATTATTATTTCGCTAATCTATCTAAATATGATAAATATCTAAGATATAATTAATTTAATTAGTTTAATTATTGGTAATAGTAACAGTAATAATAATTATTGAAAATAGTAACAATAAAAAATGAGTTGTTAAGTGAGAAGAAGTATTAAGCCGTGAAGACTTTCTCTGGTGTACGGATGTCCGGGTGTGGTTGTCAGATAAAATGAAGAGGAAAGAAAAAACTTAAATATAATAATGATAATAATAATAGTTAGATGTAAAAAGTAAAGTGTAGTAAGAAAGATAGAAATTGTTAATACACATATACGGGAAGGCTTGACACGAACAAAATCAGTATCGCGTGTGTCCTTATTTCCCTGAAGTTTACTTGTACTTGTACTCATACTTATACTGTACATCTATATATATTTATACTTGCGATGGTGTACTGTAGTCTGTACTCTACTACTTACTACTCGGCCTCAGCTCAATCTTTCTCTAAAGCAACACTGCACTGGCGTGTTGCTCTACGTGCCCTTGTTGCTGTGAAAAATGGCGGTACCGTCGGCAGAAAGGACGGGAAATATCGTGTGTTACTGGATTATGTATGTAGATGTCTAGATGTAGATGGTGAACGTAAAACGGAGAATAATATTGAGGAAGAGAGAATGAGACTGACTACTCGGGGTGGAGTGTGATCGTCTAAAACAAGGGGCTTATTTTATCAATATACTAAAATATATTTGTCTTTCTTCATTTAATATTCAATAATAATCAACCAGAGTTTAATTTTTTTTTTTTTTCATTATTATTATTATTATACAAATTTGATTATGTTTGTAAATTTTAGATAGTTATTGATCTGAGTAATCTCTGGAGTTGAAGCATAATGCGGGTGAAAATACAATTATTAATTAAAAGTATTATCTTTAAAAAAATAATGAGCATTTTCGATTAAATTTCAATGAAAGAACTTAATTATTTTTTTGAGTTTTTAATTATTCTTCAATCATGATTTTATCAAAATTATTTTTACAAAAGTAATTTTCAGTTAAATAAAATTTTTGTTTTCATCATCATTTTAGAGCTGCAATTTCATTGTATATTATTTATGTTTACGTTACTCAAACGTACGTTTGTCAAAGTGAATGCATCGTGTAAAAATTACTATAGTAATAATTGTAATTAAAAATTCAATCATCAATCGTAATTTCCACCTGTCGTTACATTAATTTCATTACTAATAATTCCATAATTTTATCCGTTACCAAATCGGATTAAATTTTTTAATCACTTACTCAAATTTTATATCGCGTGATAAATTTTATGCAAATAAAAATAAAATAATATTTACATCAAAAATTGTTTATTAAACTTGGTCAACTCCATTGCAAGCAGGCAACTATACCTATAGTTGAGATGATTCTTATAAATATGACTGATATCATTTTTCGTCTTAACAGGAAGCATTTATTTATTTACTTAACTACTTGACAGTTTACATCAATGACAAGGTCAAAAAACAGACGTAAAAATTATTATTAATGGTTTTACAATCAAAAACAATACAAGGTTTAACGTAAACACTCTATACTTCAATAATCATTCTATTATTAAATTAAAACTTTTTCTGGTATTTTTTATTGAAAATTTTATTATTTATCCTTTCAGAAGATTAAATTCATCTTGATTAAAATAATATTAAAAATTGAGTATACGCAATTAATTAATTCAATTATTTACATTAAAAAATGTATATCATCCATTGAAATATTAAAGTCTTTTTATTTTATAATATAATAAATTATTAAAAGTATAAAAAATAGTAGACTTCAAATTTGATTTGAGTAAAAATATAAAACTGAATTATCCAACAAGACTAGATAAATATTCCGCATTATAAATGTATTAATTTTTTAATTGACTTGGATCATCCTTGTTTCATAAAATTTAGTTATAAAGATTTATTAGAAAAGTTTTTTATCGATAAAAATTTATGCTGAACTTATAGACACGATCTTCTTATCCCCCTTAACCTCCTCATCGTTCAACACACGTAACTTCCACTCTTATATATAAAACAATATATACAATACATATATACAAAACAGTACAAAACAGGGTATAAAAGGAATAGATATCTTTCTCGTAGGTGGAAAATCGTTAGTTACTGTCCTCAATTCATATCTAAAGTACCGAGAAATCATTCCACACTGCATTACATACATATATAATAATCAACTTACACTAATTCCGCTCCGTACAACTGATTCATACATTAATGTAAATATATATTCCTATCAAGTTTTATCCAGTAATCAAATCAATTTTGCCTCAAATTCTCAGTTCCCAGGATCCGTATTACATCAAAATGATAATCACATTCAAAAAATATTCGTCGCCCGCACTGTCGTGCAATTCATCCTTCCTGACATATATAAATAGGTATTCTGAATTCCTTAATGAGTTTTAATATTCAAGGTCATAAAAATGTGAATATCAATCATTTAAAAATACAAAAAACTTAATTTAACTCTTTATCTCCTTAAATTAACGATATAATTCATTATTTTTACTTGCTAATAATATTTTACCCAATAATTTCTTCTTGCTCCAAAATAATTCATATCTTATAGAAAATTTTTTCGCCTGAATAAACTTTTTTGTAAAATATTCAAAAAATTAACTTTATCTAAGAGGAAAAATTTTAAACCAAAAAAATAATTTTTAATCAAACCAAAGTTTTTAAATCATCAAATTTTATTTTATGAAAAAATTTTTCTTCCTAAAAAAATTAAATAGCGAAGAAATAGAAGAGTAGTGTAAATTCGGTCGTTCCACTCCAGCCACAAGGTTGCTCTTGGTCCCTTGGTCCTCTGGTTGTCGACATCCTCTTCCTCTTCCCTCTTCCCTTTTCCTTTGTCCTGTTCATCGCGGCTAAAACAAACAAAAAAAAAAAAAAACAATATCTCACGGTATGTTAAAGCGAGAGGGTGTACAATGCTCTTGCTCTTGCTCTTGCTCTTCCCTGTTCTGCTTTGGCGACTAGTGAAGATACAACTACACACATTTGTGTATCATACAGACGAGACTTGATACCACGTAGAGAAGAGTAAGGGGTGAGCATCGGCAAAGCATACCATCATACATCCATACATACACACGTGCATAATCTATACAGATCTTTAGTATGGAGTATGAAGAATATAGTATGGAGTAGTAATAATAATACACACCAGTGCAGAGTAGTGCACCAGCAGTAGTATAAGTAGTAGTAGTTATAGTAGAAATAGTAGTAGTAATCGTAGTAGTAGTAGTAGTAGTAGTCCACAGAATACACTTAGCTGATGTTCGAAGTGGCGCTGAAGGGGTAACAGCAGCAGCGCGGTGTCCATGCTCATACTCGGATCCAACAAAACTTCACCTCCAGCATGCCAGTAGAGGGGACAGGACATCTATAGCGATCGAGGAGAAGCAACGGTGATGTAGTGTGCAGTGTGAAAAGGACAGATTCACTCCAGGAGCACGCAGTGCCTGAGGGAACACCAGCACAGCTGAAAGGAGTAGAGTATAGTCTTCCCTAAGCACACCAGGGACAGGAATAAGGACAGGAGCAGGAATAGGGAGTTATTGGTATGGTATGGAACTATGGAAGGGAATTCTCTCTCATACTCACTCATCAGCGTACAGACGGTAGACGTCGTATGATCAGAATTCTCTCTCTTATGACATTTCTTCTCACTTGCTCCCTTGGCATCTCTAGAGTGTCTTCTCTGTCGCTCTTGGTTGTACTCTCGTATAGTACTACTACAACTGAACAGAACTCGAATCGTATCGAGGCACGGGCCGTCGATGCCTGTCGCGGTTCCCCACTTCCCCGCTGGCGTTCGCCAGGCGCTGGCGTTGTTGTAGCCAGCCTTCGGTACGGCGAGCGGTACTACTGCTACACGACAGAGACTACTCAGTCGTCCACTGTCCTCGATGGCGTACGTAACACAAACGTACCGACCTTTTTAAGTATCGTTTAGTCAGTATACTCCCTGTGTTAAAGTCTGCTACAGCAGCAGCTCTACTCTTTATATACAATATATATATACAATAAACTTAAATATATAGTAGTAGTTTACATACTTTACTTGTATATTTAAAGTGTGTAAAAGGTGTTGGTGTCACTAGTGTGATTGTGTTGAGGTCTTACATGCGTCATTCCTTTCGCTCTCTGTCAATTTGTGTATAAGACTATTGAGATTTGTCATAATTAATAATTATTGGATTGAGGAAGAAATATTAAAAATATAAATTTGTTTTCTTATGTTCTATTCTTCTGGAGTTACTTTCAATTTACTGGATCTTCAGTGATTTAAGGTTTGAAAAATAATGATTATTATTATTATTATTATTATTATTATTAACATAATTTGACATTTCTTCTTAATGACTTGATTTTATTTGTTGTTTTATTCTATTTATTTTGATTTTAATTGCATAGATAATGTATGTATGAGCAAAGATGTGTGTAGAGTTAACCCGACGTCATTGACATGAATTATACTGTGCGATTACCAGGGTTATATAGAGCCGTTCCGTTATCCCAACTCGTTCGTGATAACTCGCGACCGATAGCTTCCCTGGAAGCTGTTACTTCTTTAACCCGTACTTGGAACAGATTAGCAACAACATTTCTGTAATTATTTTTTTAACATAATCAATAAATGATAAATAATTTGTTTTTCAGCATAATTAAACTTACCTGTGAGTCAACTCCACACCTTTCGGCAATCCAGTTGTTCCACTAGAGTACGGTAAAAAAATAGTATCAGTTTCGGGATTTCGTTCTGTTTGTAGGCCAGTTTTTTCAAACTCTTCAACGCCATCGCCAGTAAGATCTTTAAAATTAATACTATTCTCAGGCGTTGGACTGTCTGTTTTTTCTTCAATCACAATTATCGGCAAACGAATGACCGAGTTCCCTTTAATACTCTCAGCAACAATTGGATAGTTCGAAGACAATGTTACGACAGCTGCTGCCTCAGAGTTTTCTAATTGTTTTTTTATTTCTTCAGCAGTATACGCTGGGTTAATTAATGTTGCCTATATAATAATAAAATAATTCATTTATTTATTATTTTTTTTTTTTAAATATCAACGAGTACTTAGAGATAAATATTTACACAAACTCCGGCTTCACTCGCACCAAATACAACGATTGCGTACTCTGGAACATTGGTAAGCACAACAGCAATAGTATCACCAGGCCGAAGATTATTTTTTCTCAAGGATGTCGCAAATTTTCCACTCAATTTCTTTAATTCTCGGTACGTATAAGACTTTCCAGTGACTGCGTTTATCTGTAAATTAAAATGTGATAAAAAAATAATTAGTTTTTTATTTCTTATTATCATTATTATTATTCGTACTTGTGTTTAATTTACCAGAGCTGTTTTGTTCCACCACTTGTCAACATTTTTCCAAATACACTGATGTAATAATAAACCCTGAAAGCCATCAACATATGGAATAAAACTTCTGAATATATTATTATCATCAATAATCGATTTTTGATTTTGAATGTTTGAGCAGTTTGAGTAATAACGGACGCACCAATTGGCATGATTAAAACTATTGGTAAACCCAGTAACTTTAATGCTATTAAGTTCAACTTTACGCGATGATAAAGCTCTATTAACCGACCAGGAAGAAATAATATTTAATTTGTTTATCACATTATTCGCTAAGAAACAGAGACGCGACATTATTACTCAAGTTTAAAAACCAAACTAGAGCCACGAAGAAAAGTAAATCAACGATACCATTTCATTGACATGAATAATATTTATTAATAAACTAATTATATTTTTCCCAGATATGTTTTTCTTATCATCTGGCACTTACTAGTAAGAAACTTCACTTGCAGATGTCTCTACATGAGTTGATGCAAGTACAAGCTAAAGTACGTACTGTATTATTATCACAACACAATGCACAGCATAATTGTTTACATGTTTATTAGCCTAACAATAATTAGATAAGTTAGAGAATCGATAAAATTATTTACATGACCTAGAACTATTTCAGACGACGTAAAACAGAAAATATGTTCTAAAAATATATTTAATTAATTATAGATAAAAAAAGGGTATTTTTTTTTTTTTTTTTTTTTTTTTTAGTTATATAATTTCAGATATAAAAACTATTGGCTTGTGCAAATTATAATGGTATGTTCCTTATATATTAGCTACTGGAAAGTATATACCTGTAATATATTGAATTCAAATGTCGTCTGGCGATGTCGGATCTCATACCGAGGGACCCATCAGTCATTCAATATACACACGTAACTAATTAATATAGATAGAGTTTAACAGTTGGGACACAGTTTCACAATTATCGTTCCAGAGAATAACTACGCTGATAGTACATACGTGCATCCGCGAATTTGAGGTATGAACAACCGATAAGGAATTGTAAAAGTTTTATCTATTATGTATTCCACCTGTAAGCAGATCATACATTTTCATTTCTGCGTCACAGTATCTGTAAGAAATTGGTAATTATGATATTGATAAAAATTTATCGCCACTTTCTATTAATAATGAAGAAAAGTTAAATTAAATTTTTTTTTACTCACAGATTCGATTGGAAAAATTCAGGTGTTACAATATTATATATAAGGATGTTCTACTTCTCATTCTTTGTTCATTTTGATTGAAGGTCGAGGTTAACAAGAACATTATCCAAAGCTTAAGGACTCGTCACGCGATTCCACGATTTGCTAGTAGATCGTGATACCCCGTGATATGCAGCAAACTCTTAGTGACTTGCGTTCCTTTACATTCAGTTATAACATCTATTCCTCCTACTATACGCTTAATAACATTTTACCACCCTTTTCTTCCATACAGAAATATATTATCTAGCCAATATACATATATGAATGTGTATACAAACTGAATGTAACATTCATCTGTTTTTTTTTATCTAATATAAATGCTACATAAGTTTTAGAATATTTGTCAAGTATACGCGAATATGCGGAAGGAATTTTATGCATTTTTACAACTCGCGTGCGATACTAATAAGAAGATTAAATATATACCTCTGATATTAAGAATCCTTGATCTACATTTTCAGCTTATTTTTATTTTATTTATTCATTTTTTTGTTATTCCATTACTTACCAGCTTGCTAAATCTACGCGAATAAGTAACATATTTTTTTCAAGTTCAAACGAGTAAATGCTTTTAATAACGTACATGTTTAAATTAACACTAAATATAGACATGAAAAATATTATTTAATCACGTAGTCTATTAAATTCGAATTAAATTTCACAAACTACTGCAGTTATTTTAAATATGGGCAGATACAATTAAAATTAAAATTACATATTCAAAAGTTTTCCCTCAAGTTATAAATCATTCTATTTTAATATTTTTTAAAAAAATATAAATAATAAGTTTAATGCGACGATTGTTTCAATTACTTAAAATATGTAATCATCATCTTAGGAGTATTTAAATTTTATTATCCGAACTACTCAATAACTGGCTAACACTCAATTAAATGACACGATCATTTTCTCCAATTTGCCTTGGCTCATTTATATACATTTTAATTTAATATATATATATATCTTCTATGTGCAGTATAGGCAAAATTACATCTTTAGACCATTAGAGAAATAGCTATTAACTAGTATAGGAATTAATTTAGTCGGTTCTCATCAGTGTGTCATAAACACAGCAATACTCTCCACTACTTAATGTAAACGGAATCTCCATTTATGTTATTTATATTTAAAACAAACTATTCTAATCTTTTTTCTCCTTCTTATTCATTATCTTCACTTTTTCATCCTTTTTTGATATTTTGTTTTTAATATTTCACATTTCATATTAAACGTCAAGTTCATTAGTAAAATGACTTTTGCTTGAATTTCTTAGTGCCCAAGGTCAAAACTACAATGCAATCAATTAAAGACGGTAAATATTTTTTAATATCGAACAAAAATCCACATTTTTAATTAAATAATAAATTAATAATTTTTAACAGATTGTTACGAATGATTTATTTCAAGACAAAGTGCTTAGGAAGAATAACAAAAAATAGAATAAGATGAAAAAGAAGAAATTAGCAATGGGCAGCTTTAGGGGTAGGTCGTGTGTTGAAAAAATGTTAAAATAGAGAACAGAATAGAGGAGCGTATACGTTTTTTTAATACTTATGAACTGAGGATGGGAGTACGAAGGAGTAGAAATAAAGAGGGGTAGTATGGTTAAAGTTAAGGGAGTAGAGTTGAGTAGAGGAGGGTGATACCGGCGAGGTGGCGCCCTCCCTCACGCTTTCGATCGACCCTGCTACTCTCTTCTCTTTCTCTTGGAGCTGCTGCTGGTGGCTCGTCCTCTTTTATTTCTTCCTCCCTTCGAGTGTCCGTTCGTCCTCACGGGAGCTCAGTAGTCAGCGACACGTCGGCCCAGTTAACACACTGGTCGAGTTTTCAGGGTGGTTTATGTTTATTCAAAACGTGGTGCGTGTCGTGCAATAAACACCACTCTATTATTTTTTTTTAACTCAAGGATTTTTTCATTTTTATTTAATCAGGTACGTATTTTTTTTTTTTTTTTATTTTTTTTTTTCATTATCAATTACTAAATTTTATTATTATTTTATTTTACTTCATATCACTAAAATTAAAATTATTTTTTTGGTTGTATCAGGAGATTTTTTGTTTATCCCGCACTTGAAAATTTTTCGACTAACGTTAAAGATCTTGGTGAAAAAAAAGGGGGGTTGGAAAACGGGGACAAGGATTTAAATTGGATAGGTGACATGAAGAATTGACAAAGTAAAGACGAAGGACCTCAATTGTACAAGGATCGATTGAATGACTCGACGAAAATCGAAATAATCGAGCTAATATGTACCAAGAGCCAAGATATACATGACACAACCCAAGTAGACATATTATATTACATTATACCTATGTTTATATATTTATATTTATTATATATATAAAAGTCAACCAGCTGAGCTTGAATGTTGTTTACGTGGTAGTGTAAAAGGGCGTCAATATTATCGTAGCTTTATTTTATCTTTATTTTTAATGTGTCTTATATACTCTGGGTTATTTTCACTAACCAAAGTAAACTATAAAAACAGGATAGTATAGGAGATAAGAAGAGAAGAAATGGGGCTGAAAGTGTGAGTAGAGGTGTATTTCATAATAAAATCTTTTCAAGTAGGAAGTAGACCAAGCAACTGAGTATGAGCTGGATAAGAAAAATGTGTATAAAGCTTTGTACGCGTAGCGGTATTGTTCGAGCTTTTTAAGTGTGATAGTAAGAAGAAATATAAGTTATGTTTATGTTATTCTGAAGCTACCCGAGAATTTCATGGCAATAAAATTATTAAGATTTAAAGTGAAATATTTAGCGTGCTGAGACCGGACACGTGTTTTTATGCTCTCAGATTATTCCTGTAAAATTTAAACGTGACCTTCTGTTATTTATGTGACGCAGTTTACAACTATAGACACTATCTTGCGTATACATGGCAGGCATTAACTTTCAATAATATTATTTTTTTGATATAAAATAATATTGTAGTATAAAGAAATTGAGATTCAATTCCAGGAGCCAGGAAGCAGGCTTAGACGTTACTCGTAATTTCAATGTTAAACTGAAAATACTTTGGATTAACTAATTTCCTCGACATTTACGTTCCTCATTAAATCTTCTCAACTAATAGTCATTTATGAGGGTGATAATAAGGAGGTAGAGGTAGAGTCTTTAGCGAGTATAAAACTTGAGGTATAAATTAATAAAATAGAAAATTATTTCGACGGTTAACAAAGTTAATGGGATGGCTAAATAAAAAAAGCATTCAATTATAATTACAGAACAAGATAATTAATGTTGGTATGCATGTATAATTGTGTATTGCTGAAATATTTAGTTTGTAAACAATGTTGCTGCTTAAAAAAAGTAGAATCAAGTTAAAGAGGTCAACGCGAAAGCGCAGAAAAGTGGAAGGAATGACGCAAATATCTGCACGATACTCTCAATCAGCCGTACATATTCATTTGTACGAAATGTAGGACACATGTTTTTTTAATATCAGTACAAGACAACAATTCAGTCCACCAAAAAATCTTTAATATATAATTTATCGATACAATTTTATATATTAATATTATTGGTCATTGCTTTTGTATGAATGATCAAGAGCAATACCGATTTTCGGTGAAGAAAATAAGGTTGAGAAAGTTGAATTGAGCATCGAGAGAAAACTATCATACACAAATGATATAACCAGTATATGAAGTCATGCAGAAGCAATAGTGCATGGAGAAATGGATAAATTTAACAAGGCATAAAGCATCAAGATAAAAGTACACATTTTATTGGAAGTATATAAAAAATAAGTTGATAGATAAAAATTTAAAATGAATAATTGACATAATATATTTGAGTGCCAGAGTTTGGTAACCTTTAGAATGGATAAAAAAAAATTATAACTTGCGCTGAAAACTCGTTAGGTCGGGCTGTGGCTTGTACGTCACACCGAGAAATCGAGGTAACCTCTTTCGCCAACAGGGGCTTTTACCCCACTGGCTGGTTACTGCTCTGACTACCCCGGAAACTCCACCATGCCCCTCGAGGACGATCGACGACTTCGACAACAGCTACAAAAGTTGATCCTATTACTCTAGTGTGTGCCTGTGAGGATCGTTACCTCAAAAACTTTATCATCA